AGGCAGAACAGAGGGAAAGCCATCACTCTCGCACCTTGGGGCTGTAGAGGTCCCTTGAGGGAGATCCCTTTCTGGCTATCACCTGAAGCGAATGTGGGGGCAATTTCTTGGAGGCTTTGGCATTCGAGTATTCAATGCTGCTGAGAAACACCCAGAAACCAGACCCCCTTCCCTCCTACCTGAGCCTGACTCCATTCAAAACACTCTGTCTAGCTTGGTGGACCCTCTTACATATTTTATTTTAATCACTCTGGAAATATTAAACAAACAAACAAACAAAACAAGCCCAACTACAAAACAGCAAGGCTTTTTCATGACTGTAGGATCAGCGGCTCTCCCTGACTGCTGGGGCAGGAGTGCAGGGCCCCCGATGCCCTTGTCACACACCTGCCACATTCTGTGTGAACATGTCAAACTGGCAAGCGTGCTCGATTAATCACCCAGCCTGAGAATCTACGAAACAGAGTTCACATTACCCAGAGAGCTGCAGGAAGGGCCCTCTGAGGTCGGGATGCAAGACCAAACAGAATTAACGTGCCTGCCACATCCATCATTTTGTAATCTGCTTCCAGTTCTATAATCCCCCAACATCCGGACTGTGCATACCAAGAACATTCCTCACCAACGCAGATCAAAATGGCTCTTGTACAAAGGGCTCTGGCCGCCCTCCCCAGCCTAAAAACACCATTAGCCATTTCTACAAGTCAGATGCCTCTGGACTACAGGCTTCTGCTCAATGTGGCGAGGGACTTAGAAGGTTTGATAAATCTTTCACGAGTGGGTTCTTCACACACTGTACATATACAATTTGATTTGACCTAAGAACAAGAAATCCATTGTTAATTTTCCAGCAATATACTAACAGGGAAGAGATCATGTAACAGAAAAGGACACTACAACTATCACTCACCAAACTGTTTCACCATTACTTCCAAAGAACAGGTGTTCAAAAAACAGGAATAAGTAGGTTAATCCTAATGATTATGATTTTAAGATGCACTTAAAAATCACTTACTGTAGAGATGGTCCCTGACTCACAATGGCTGGACTTAATGATTTTTTGACTTTACAAAAGTATGAAAGCAAAACCACGTGAACACTCTGGTTTTCACTTTCAGCATAGTATGTAGCACATTACATGAGCTAGCCAATAGTTTATTATAAAACAGGTTTGTACTAGAGGATTTGCCCAACTCTAGGCTAATGTAAGTGTTAAGCTTGTGTAAGTTAAGCAAAGCTAAGCTCTGATGTTTGGTAAGCTGGGGAAATTAGCCACACTATTGACTTAAGGTATTTTCAACTTACGATGGGTTTATAGGGACATAACCCCATTCTAAGTTGAGGAGCATCTGCATTTTATATTTTCATGGAATTACTTCTCATTTTCATTTCAGAACATGTTCTGAGTATCTCAAGGGAAATACTATTACCTGTTTCTTTTAGGAGAAAAGGAGATTCAGAGATACTGTGTGAGAGGACTGAGGTTACACAGCTTATGATTGGGGTGAGAGAAGTCCACATCACACTCTGGTTTCCTGGTTGATGCTATTTTTCAAGATTTTAGGCTATGAACCTCCTAATTCTCACAAGTACTTTACCATAAAGATTTCACCACCAAATTATTTTATGCTATAAATACTCTTATTCTCTCAAATACCTTGTCACATTCACATAATTTGATTATTGTTACTGGAGCTGTTCATTTCAAAGTATACATCCCTAGATTCTTAAAGGAATGAAAAGTTGGACAACCAGGGCATTTTATGTTCTGAGCATTTATAGCCCTGATGTCTGAGAGGAAAAATTTTAGTCATCAACTGGAGAAGTTTAGTTACAAGTTTTACTTATAAACTTATTTAGGAGTGAGAATTTAAAAGAATATGAACAGTGTTATCTTTTGGAAATTTAAACACTAGGCTTTAGTTCTGTGAGCTAATAGTGTCCACAGGAATAGTGGACAAGAATGGTCTAAGAGTGACACCAAAATACACATTGATGTTAGCAACATTAGAAGTTGTTCTTAAGTACAAAAGAGGAAAGGATATCGGTGTGGTTGCTGGCCATAGGGTTTTGCTATAGACTGAATGTTTGCATACCCACATAATTCATGTTAGCCAGGTGGTGAATTCCTGTAGTCCCAGAAACTTGGGAGGCTGAGGCAAGAGGCAAAAGGATCTCAAGTTCAAGGCCAGCCTGGCTAACTTTGTGAGACTCTGTCTTGAAAACAAACAAATTAGTGAACAATTAAAAAATGCTGGTGAAGTAGCTCTGTGAAAGAATATTTGCATGTGCAATGCCTTGGGTGCAATTCCCAGAACAGGAAAAAAAAAATCACATGTTGAAGCCAAATCTCTAATGTGATGGCACTGGGAGGTGAACAAAACCTTGGGAAGGTGATCAGGTCCTAAGGGTAGAGCCCTCATGAATGGGATTTAATGCCCTTGTAAAAGAGGCTCCAGAGAGCATCCTTGTCTCTTCCACCATGAGGTTGCAAACAAAAGACAGCTGTCCATGAAGCAGGAAGAGGCCCTCACTAGACACTGAATTTTGTGACACCTTGATCTTAGACTTGTCAGTATCTAGATCTGTGAGATGAAAATTTCTTTTGTTTATTAGTTACCCAGTCCATGGTATTTTGTTATAGTAGCCCAAACAAAGACATATGAAGCAGTAAGGCTTTGATTCAATAAAATATAGCTAATGAGTTCTTGTGCCACAGAAGAACTGTGCACATACAGTTTCATTTAATCCCTATGTAGCCTTCTGAGGTTTTCTATCCCCATAAGTGAAGACTGGGGATCATTAAATTGCTTTGTGGAAATAATGCACACAGTTACGTGACAAAGCTGAGATCCAAAGCCACACACATCTTATTTCAACTATCCCAAAATGTGCCACTGATACTTGGAAATCTGAATAATTTTAGCCTTCTCATCCCTCCTTAAGGGCTAGCCTCCTAAGTTCATTCCTGAAACAAGAAAATATGAAATTATTTCAAAATAAAAGGTACAAAAAGTCAGGCTATTATTATTTATTGTCTCTAGTTAGAAAATAGACACCTGAGGGAACAGGAAATAGGTTTCAACAGGCTGAAGAAGGTGATGAAGTTGGGGTACAGAAGAGGCAGGGGAGGTAAAGGTCTTGTGTCCTGCTGTGAGACACCTGGGAGAGGGCAGAGGAGAGAGTTCTGCTTGGCAACCATTCTGTCCTCAGTCAACAAACACTGATTCCAAATCTTCTCTGTTATGAGCCACACTGCAGGCCTCTAGACATTGCTGTATGAGCACTGGGGACTGACTCCCTGGGAGGATTAGTGGACACTTTCCACAAGTGTCATTAGCTGGGGTCTCAAACAATGAGGAGGAGTTCTCTTGGTGGAAAAGGGAAGGCAGTATAGACAAAGCATGCTTCCAAAAGCCTGGAGGTCAGAGAGACTGTGACATGTGCTGGATGTGGAAGATAGATATTTACCATGGGGTACATGGTGACAGGGTGGTGGCAATAGTGAGATGGTGTACAGGAGGTGGGCAGGATTCTGATCAGCCAACAGCATGACCTGTGTTCTGTACGTTGTGGGCAGCCAAAGGCTTTTAGGCAGGGAGCGACAAGATCCACAATAAGATCACTTGCATGTTCCTGAATGACAGACCAGGGAAAATCAGGCAGGTAGTGAAGAGGCCAGCTGGGTCGAGCTGCACTTGGAGGAATCCTTGCAACTCCAAGGCTCTTTGTGACACTCTTGTCTTTCACTCCATTTCACAAGTGATAAACCAAGGTCCAGAAAGGTTAAGAGACTTGCACAAACCTATCCAGCCTTGGAACACCAGAGCGGGGACCAGAATAAAGATCTGTGAGCTGCCAAAGGATGCCCGCCACTTGTCTAGACAACCAAAGAAAACAAGAGGCCTAGAGTCTGGATTCTGTGGCTTTAAGGTTATCTGCTTGAGACAACACTCAAAGGCTAGAAGATAATAGTAGCTGAAAGAAGGAAGCAGATTTTCCACTGATTTGGGATTTCTGCCCTCACAAATACCAGGTAACTAGCAACGGTGACACAGCTTGGTTAAAAAATAAGACAAACACAGAGACCAGGGTATTGAGGGAATGGGCACAGCAACTTTATACATCAACCAAAGTGATCAGATTCGGTCTGTTTGCACATACTGAAACTCAGAGACATGAACAAAGTCCTTTTGGAGCCATGTAGATCAATTCTTTCCTAAGAGCAGACAATCACTGCTTGACTATGTTGTCTAAAAAAGAAATCCTATTGGCAAGAAAGTATTTCCTTCACATACTACTATTCACAGGGCTAGTCCCCAGAGATGCTCACCCCAAAGAAAACTAGAATGATTACCACAGTCACTTTAAACTGAGATCCTATGCCCAACACCTGCCCCTGGACTCTGAAGACACAGATTGTTCTGTATTCCAGAAAAATGAGACTTTTAAGGAAGCAGAGCTCTCCCGTAGCCTTCTCATGATTTCACCCCAAAGAGGAGGATCTACACACAGAATCTATTTTCAGGGTAGAAATGGATTTTATGACATCTACACTTTTTCCAAAGGGCCTTGAACTTCCCATCTGAGCATGCAGCATGATATGTGTGAGCAGGATCTCAGAGCTGCCACATGGGCAGAGGGCCTTTCTCGGGATGTGAGGCAGAGTGAGTCCCTGATACCTAGAAGGTATCTGCACTCTTCAGAACTGCACTTCACATTGTGAACACCAACCCATGAAAAGAAACACAGCACATTATGTCTCCAATTGGTCACAGATGGGAGAAAATCAACCACAATAATAAATTCACGGAGGTGGAGTGTGTCGTCACACAAGGAGCCAGGATGTGTGATCCAGAAGGTGTGTGTGGGGGAGTTAATGCCATATGTCGTTTGACTGCTGTGGGCCCGCTCTCATGTCCCAGCAGTGTATTCTTCCCAAATAGCTCTGATGCCATCCTTGACACCACTGCCCTCTGCCAAGCCTACATGCCTCTTACCAGGTACTGAAGTCGCTGGCGCTCCGTCTCGGGGGTGAATTCCGAAGACATGGGGATGATTTCTCCATTTCTGATGATTATGGCCCTGAAATAGTGAAAATGCATTGTCAGCAGCCAATTTCATAAGTATTGTGACGAAGATCAACCACGGTGTGGTTCGGGTCACACACAAAATGCCAGGACCGGCTTTCTCCTCCCACCTGCGCTGCAATTCTGGATCTCCTGTGAGGTTGGAGGTATCTCTGTTTTTAAGTGCGCTGCATTCTGGTCAGCTTATGATTACTTTTTCTGCTGGCTGGCACTATTGCTTTAATGCTTGGCACCAAGCATATTACTTAGCACACAACAAATAAATGGTGAATAAGTGAATGGTGCAGAGGCTCACTCTAGTCCAGGGTTATCTGAAAGGACCTTCTGTGATCATGGTAACACCCCCACACCATCACTCAGGGGTGCTATATCACTGAGTTACACCCATAACTCTTATCTTATTTTTAGATAGGATCTCACTAAGTTGCCCCTGGTAGGCCTTGAACTTGGAGATCCTTCTGCCTCAGCCTCCACAGTTGCTGGGATTATAGGTGTGTGCCACTGCACCTGGATGGTAACATTCTTGTCTGTGGAATCCATCATTGAAATATGTGACTACTGAGCATTTGAATTGTGGTTAGTGAAGTCAAGGAACTAAATTTCTAACATTATTTAATTTTAATTAATTTAAGTAGTCCCATGTAGCTAGTGTTCAATGTAGTGGATGGTTCAACTTCAGACTCTTGTTATTCAAAGGATCAATGGGCTAGGATCAATGGGCTAGGAGCATTTGGCCTTACCTGGGAAATTGATAGCAAGGCAGAATCTTAGATTCCCCACCCAGACTCTCACCAGGTAGTTCATAAGCACATTAAAATCTGAGAACATCTGGCCTAGATCTTGAGCATCCTTGGTAATATCCTGGGTCCAGAGATAGCCACTTTCATTTTGTCTCAAGGATCAGAAAATTCACACTCTCCAGAAAAATGTGCGCAAGAACTATTGCCCACTCAAGGACTTCTGAGAGAAGAGAGCTCCCAAAGCTGATGTCTAAAAGAGAGGCTGCAGGATCGATAACCATGAAGCAATTTTTCTTGGACCTGGTCCCAGAGGTGCCTCCCATTTTCAGACCTTCTGATTCTGAAGTGGCTCCTGACAGCCACTTTATAGCCACCGATCCATCAGTTGTGGCAAAAGGCTGTCGTTTTTGTGACAAATAGGATTGGCTTAGGGAACTGCATTTTATACATCTGAACAACTCCCTGGCACCAGGGACCCAGAGACCTGAGACCTGACTCACTTCTTAGTGAGGACCCGTAGATGTGGGAGATGCCTTCCATGAGTTCAATCAATGAGGTATCTGGTGGATGCCTCATTGATTCTAGGGCATGCTGCTTCTTTGTGCTACAAAGCCCGCAGGCACCTCTCTCCCGACCTGGAGAGGCAGTCTCTTTCTTGGAAGCAGTCCCTAACTTGGAAGCAAGCCCTATAATGGTTCCAGCTATTACAACCCTGCCCCTAACCCTGACTACCTGTGCCCCAGTTGCTGCTATCATAGAAACTGGGGTGGGTGTAGGCAGGGGAGGAGATGACAATGAAAATCTTGGGGGCTTTAGAGCATTTAGGGCTCCAGAGGTAGAAGTTTGAGAAAACGGAAGTGTAGGGAAGCTAATTCTGCGAAAAAGACGCCTCTTACTGTAATATTCTTTATCCCTTCTATTATTATACTGCCTAAAATGTGACAAATTTGATTCCTTCTCATAAGCCTACAACCACTTATAAAATGCAACCCCCTCACTCGCAACCCAAAAAGATGATATTCACCATTCACAAACCACGTGAGTTGATTCACATGGTCACTGTCCTAATTATGAGCTGAGATTTACTACCAAAATAGACTAAGGGTTTGACAGAGAATGGAGAAACTTGGAGAATTTGAAAGGGTGCCTGGAGTCAGGAAGGTCTAGGTGAAGGCCTCGAGATCCCTGGAGCTGGACTGAAGTTATGTGATAGATTCCAAAGGAGTCTTTTCTTTCAAAGGTTTGCTTCAAGCTAGTCTTACTTTGTTTTTTCTTTTTTTTCTACATGACCCCTAAATTTCAGCTGATTGCTGGGTATAGAGTAGGAAAGTGAGACACCCCAGAAGGAAGCAAAAGAGGATGAGGAAGAGGAAGGAAGGGAAGTCAGAGGTTGGGGTGTTCCAGACCCAGGAGAGAGTGATCTCATCACCACACAGCCTGGCCCACTGGGACACGTTGTTCCACCAGGCTATGGAATCAGGACCTGAGTGTCAGGAGGTCAGGGGCTTTTTGTTCCTGAATATTCCAGATGTTTAGTATCATGTCTGTCACACAGCAGGAGCCCCATGAATATTTGCTAAATGAAAGAGAAGAGGAGAGAACTTGGGAGACACTTTCTTGAACTTCAGGCAGGAGGAAAACAGAAACAAGAGGCAGCAGACGTTCAGTTAAATAATGTGAGATCGACTTCATAGAGAGGAGGAGACTTTTCCTGGAAATCTACCTGCTCCCCGAGCCATCTTCTCTTCCTGACTAGCACTAGTTTGTCCATTACTCCTCACCCCAGAATCCTCCCAACATTAGTATTTCAATTTTTCTCTCCACTGGATATCTGCCATAGTACAAATCCATGCTCTAGAACACTTTGTATGTATATGCTGGGTCTCTACTTCCTTGCTTCCCATTGATCCCTCAAACAGTGGTAGATTCATACCCTGCCTCTCTGTCCACCCAGCTGCTATCACAAGAATCACCAAATGACTCCCCCGTTGCTATGTTTACTGGAAAAAAAAAATCATCATTCTGATCTCTCTGGTAGCATTTGCTAAGTCTCTCCCAAACTGGCTCCAGGGGATCTCTTCCTCCTGGTTTTCCTTCTACCTCCTAGGACACCTTTGGTGCTGGGGATGACTATGTCTCACCATTCTTCCACCCTGGGCAATCTAATTTCTTAGCCCCAAGGTTAAGTTCAACTCATCTCTTAACATTTTTCCTTAGCCTGGTACTTCCCCTAGTATGGAACATGTCACACTTTGGAACTGAGGACTTGTCTGCCTTCCATGCTAGCATGTAAGCTCCTAAGGCAAGGACCATGTCTGACTTGACCAAGAGTGTAGCCCCACCACTGTGCACAGTACCAGGCCATTGCAGGCAGGACTAGCTATACTACCTCAGGGGCCAGTGCAAATATATATATGCAGGACCCCTTGTTTAAAAAATGAGAGTTTCAAGATAGAAATGATAGGGCACTAAATGGAATGTGGCTTCCTTTGGAGAGTGGGGTACTGCATGAGTACACAAGTCACATTCTCACAAAGCTGGCCTTGATAGTATGCCCTTGATATTGGCTCAATGAGCTGACTTCAACAACCACATATGCCAATGATTTCAGATCAACTTCCCAATCAGCACGTCTCTGTTGTGCTCCAGCACGGACCAGCCAGTTATCAACAGATATAGCCACTTGGATTTTTGCAGGAATTGCAGACTTAGTGTAGTGTTCAAATTGATGATGCTGTCCCCACCACCCCTTCAAATTGGACTTCCAGAATTCCCAACCTTGGGGAACAACACTATTTTACACCTAGTTGCCTGTCCCAGACTTCTCTCACTCCACATTTCCAAATAGGCATCCCATCCTGTAATTTCACCTTTTCAGTTTTTAACATAAATCTCTTTCCATGACTCCTATTACTGGTGCCTTGGTTCCAGTTTCCATCAGAGACTGCCTGCAGGACTCAGGAGCTCTCCATAGTCCTCTCACCTCTGAGAGTAGAGTGATGGGTACATTTGTGATGGGTACTTTCAGAATCTTCTCTTACTAGCTATTTTGAAATATACAATTAAATGTTCTCAACTGTAGTTCTTCTATAGAACATTAGAAGTTATTCCTCTTCCATCCTCTTCCACCCTTCCCGACCTCCCTAACCACCATTGTATTCTCTACTTCTATGAGACTGGTATTCTCTACTTCTATGAGATTGTTTTTTTTTGTTGTTGTTGTTGTTTCCACACATAAGAACATGCCACAAGGTGATTTTAAAGCACCACTGTCACCTGCCACATCCCCAACCTAAAGCCCATTGCTGGTTTCCCAGACCTTCCGAGTTCCTTCATTATCTGGTTCTTGCCTATATTTCTGTCGCCTCACTCTTGCTACTCCTTTCACATCTACTTCTCCCTTCTAAAAGCCAACCTACTCCCCTCTAAGCCAGTTCAGAGGGCCCTCTCTTGTCCTTCTGGGCTGCTGTGGATGCCCCTTCTCTGTGATGACATAGCTGCACCATAGCCCTTACGAGCCCTGGCTGCAATGGCTGGCTTCCAAACTTGTCTTTAACTATCCTGAGGATATTTTCCAGGCAGAGCCCAAGTCATTGTCTCTGATCTCCAACGCTCAGTGTTTGGCATGTGGCAGACATACAATGGGTGTTTGCTGAGGAGATAAGTGATGGAGTGGGTGCCAATGAGCTGGACTTGGGTGGTGAGCGCAAGTACCCAGAGACTCAGGCCGTAAACAAGACTTTTCTTAATAACAACATTATTAACTGTAGAGAGTCTGAGTCCTCAAAAACACATACAAATTTCCACTGGTTGTTGGAAAAAGACAACAGGCCTAAGAGAATATCATTGCTGAGAAGTGACTTGAAGGACACCGGGAAATGAGGCAGAGCTTCCCTCCTCAGGGGTCAGGGAGGGAGAATATAGCAAGGGCAGCAGTGACCACCACGTTTACCCTGTTTCTATATTTTGAATTCACAGACAAAGTATTAGCATTCAATTCCAATAACTGCCGGGGTAATCCTAGCTCATTATGTTCTTAAATAGATAATTATATCTAAATCCGTCCATGTACAGAACACTCTTCCCTTCTGTTTGAACTCCAAGTTCTTGCTTTCTGAGGCACCATGGATTAAAGATGACAGCGTGTCCGGCTGCCAACCTTTCCGGGCCCTGAACCGTGGTGCCTCTTCCCATGTGATCCTTGGCTTCCTTTTGATCTCTCACTCTCTTTCATCCCCTCTGATCTTGGGATCAA